GGAGGGGGTCGCCCCGCCATGGGCAGCCGGGCCGGGTCGGGCCGGGACGGGCCGGGCTGGGCTGCAGCGGGCGGTCCCTCTCCCGCTCCGCTCTGCCCGGCTCTGCCCGCGGGCTGGGGGCGCTCGTGGGGCGTTGGGAGGGTGACCGGGGGCTCCCCGACGAGTGGGACGGCACGTTTGCCTCGAGCCCCCGGCGATGGCCCAACGGGAAAAGGCAACGGTCTTGAAGGGAGGGCGTGGGGCCCTGCCATCCCCTCGCCCTAGAGCTGCCTCCCGCGGGCAGCTCGGCTCCCTGCTCAGCCTGGGTGCTGTTGACAGCCCTCTGCGCCTAGCAGTGCCCAGTTACAAATTGAGCCTTGAAGAGCACTTGTTTTTTCCTCTTAAGGGGTCAAAGTGAGGATGCCGCTTGGCCTCGTGCTGACGTGTGGCACTGCTGCTTGGCCAAAACAAAGGCCACAGCGATGGGCTCCTCCTGCCGCCAGGGCTCGCCAGGTCGCAGCAATGTGTCGGGGACACCAGGAGGCACGGCGGAGCCTGCAGCTCCTGCCAGAAACATCCCTGTCCCTCCACGGGCAGCAGGCGGGCCCTGCGCCAGCAAACCCACCTCTGCCTTGGACCGCCAGCCGCCTCCGTGCCACCGGCACCTCCAGAGCATCCTCCCCGCTCCCGCCGCGTTGTGGAAACAAGGGCCCTTCCTGCACCCTCCTTGCCTGTCCAGAACCTTCTCCAGGAAAAGGAAGGTGGGAAATGGTGCCTGGTCACATCTCAGGTTGCCTCGCTCCTTCCCAGGGGGAGAGGAAATAGGGCACAGACAGACGGGGTTTTCCCCAGGCACAGATGAAATTTTCCTTTGGTTTTAGGGCCTTCTGGTTTTGGTAAGGCTGGCTCCACCAAAGGTCCACAAGCTTATTACTCACGATGAAATCACTAGATTTGTCTGGGAGCTTACAAATAATCGTAGGTATTCTCATGCCCACAAGCTGTAATTCTGATTCAAAATAATCAAAAACAAGCAGACTGGGCAGCTCTGGCAAGAAATGGACAAAAGTGGTGTGTATGGGAAGGTGATGTCTTTTATTGCGTCTGTTGCAATAGATCTGATTTCATTTTAAAATAGCACACCACATTTTCCATGAATAACCAGATACATACTCTCTAAATATTTGCCCTTGGAACAGCCGTAATTTAAAGTGACAAGTGCCACGAGTTGAAGGCATACCGCATTCTCTT